TTTTTTTTTTTTTTTGCTCTTATTGTTTCAATGAAAAATTTTTCATTTTTAATTTATTATTAGACTAACAAATTTGTTATGTTGAAACAATGGCAATCTATAAGAAAATGTCGAACAAAATACAGGGAAAAAGAAAAAAGAAATGCCGGAAAAAGAAAAATAAATAAAAACGAAAAAAAAAAAAACTAACTACCAGAAAAAAGATTTTTGCTAAACATAGAAAAGAACTTTTTCATTTTTTTTTTTTTTTTTGATGAGAAACATATCGGTTTCTAATAGCATTGCTTAGACATAAGAAAAAAAAAAACTGTTTTTTCTAGTTTATAGAAACTAAATGATTAAATTAAATTAAAGACAGTCTAGTGTTGTTGTTACTCTGTCTATCCATGGATCTGTAGGTATATTTGTGTGAACTTTAGCAACCACCAAACAATTTGAATGTGTGTCGATGTCTGTGAGCAATAAGCATATAAAGATTCTAAAAATTCTAAAAGATGATGACATCGGTCGAGAACAACACCGATGAAACAAAAAGGTGTGTTCACAAAAGAAAATGTTCACAATTTAACAACAACCTTAAAAGCAGCTTTTCAAATTGCAACAAAAATTGTGATGATCAGTTAGAGTTTGATATGGCAACAGATTTGGTTGCTTGTCTTTGGTGCTCTTTTCTATACCATTATTGCCACCATTGTTGTTGTCCAACCAACTGTCTTTGATACTATAATCTTTCACCTAACTATACAATAACTTCTATAGTATCTAATAACTGTTACTTAGCTGTCATATAAAACTTAGCTGAAACTATAACAGAATTGTACCAATTCAATCGAGCATTGGTGACCTATAGTTTTTGAGTAATTTACACTGTCTGTAGTTGTCTGCTACTTAAATTTTTCATTCAGTCTAAGGTTTGGCAAAAAAATTCAGAAACATAATGTTCATTTTGAACAACTTTACCATCTAAGAGCAGCTTGATACAAAATTCTTAGCAATAAATCAGGAGACAACTTAAAAACAAGGAAAAAATTACTAAGACTTTCTTCTGCTTTAAAACAGATAAAAATAGAAGTTCATTTTTTACCCTATTGAGGTTTGCC